GCTCAAATAATACGAGCATCACGATATACACGTGTAAAACACGTCAAAGACTCATATTTTATCGAGATAAGTATCTCTCGTTAGAGAGGTCATGACAAAACGAAAAAGAAAAAATTATATTTTCATTTCGTCGTTTTATTTTTGCCTGCGAGTATAATATTCGGTGCTGGAAGTTTCGGCCTGATTTTCCATCGCGGATTCTCCGGGCATTAACGCTAATTACAAGCCAGTCGATGCGCCGTGCATACCAAAGTACCCATACTTCACTCTCTCTATCTCTTGCTCACTTTTCTGCCTACGCGTATTACATCGATTCGTGAGTGGTCGCTCGGTTAAAAGGAAAATCTATAATCCATCAAGCGCAGGTTCACTCTGTTATCAGTGACTAATTTCGTTAATTATTAGGCGAGAACGATGATTGATCAAGTGTAGTGGCGCACGTGACATTTTGAGATAACACTTTAAATGCTATAAAAGTATATATGATAAAAAAATAAATTAAATAAATAAATAAATAAAACACAATAGCTAAGCCTGATAGAAATGCTCAATATTTATGGCTAGTCTCATAAAATTTCTTCTGTGGTTCCCGTGCTATGACTTATACTACTTATATTATTATTTTGACTTTGCCACTTGCAGATTTACAGAAATAAAGGTACTGGCCATCTAGCGGGGAAAGCTTAAATAGATATTTTCGTATTTGATTGAAAACTTGACTAGAATTCGTAAGCGATTGAATCTTCGTTGTCATTTAAAATGCGCTAAATATTTTTTACATAATTTCAACAGGAAAATCGATTGTAATGTATTTTAAAACCTTGCGAATTAAAATTTTTTGGTCCTATTGTCATTATTAATCATTCGAAGCAGACATTTCCAGCACCAAAGTCCGTAAATTTGCAAGAGTACCTATTGCATCGCGAGACGCGTGGTGCGCGTATAATTCCGAACTCGTCGAAATCGTTAGCTCAAAAAGCCTCAATTAATAATTAAATACGCGTGTCTGGCTTGCATCGAAGTTTGCCGCGTGCGGTCGCGACCAATTTACACGGCCATGAATATCGTAACTTTGGGATGCAGCTAGGCGCACGCAGTTATTTGGCGTAACGTTAATAATCGAGCGACCCGATCCTATAAGGATATCCTCCGGCGTGGTTGACATATTTTACGCGATATGTAATATACTCAAAACTCGACTATATTTTACACTTGTGATGTATTCGTTTTGGCAAGTTCGTTATATTCAGGTATATGTAAAATTAATCCGCGTACGCCCGCACTCGTCGTGCAGCTATAACGAGTCAGTCGGTCGACACAACTCTATAATTGAATACAACGAAAAATCGACTCTCGCGGTTGTATCTGTCAAACCCGAGCACGCATGTGCATTATAACGCATTGACGCGCGCGAAAAAGTGTGTAAAGGTCGCGTGTCGCGCAGGTATACACGCCTCTATAAATATCCATTCGACATCGTCATCGCTTCGTCGCAGTAGTAGTAGTAGTAGTACAAGTACGTAAACTTGGGCTGCGCCGTCGGTGCGGGTCTATTTTCGGTGCAAACATCGAGTGACTATTGAACGAGCGTTGTGTTGTGTATAGCCTGTATAGTAAGGGATTGCCCTTTTGTTTTCGCCTTGAGTAAATATCGTGTTTACATTTGCAGCGCGACGCACGTTTAGGAGAGAGAGAGAGAGAGAGAGCAAGAGCAAGAGTGAGGACAAAATGCACGTGCCCACACACACATTAGAGAATATAATAATATATATTTTTCGGTGACAAACTCGAGTTTGAACGTCACGATTTATCACTAATTACACTATACGAAAGAGACGTCGTTCCGAGTGTTGCGTGTCAACAAAGACGCGTCAATGCGAAAAAGAAAAGAAAGAATCAAATCAAGCGTAACTGTCACTGGATACATCGGCCCAATTCTCCGAGCGTACAGTTAATTAAACTCTCTCGGATACACGAAGATGTGCGACGGTACACGTCTGCAGATACACTTCGTACGCGGCGTATATATTTTCATTTGCAGTGCCTGCGTATATATACTCGTAGAGTTGTACTCTCGTCTCGGGATCAAAAAGGATCCTTTCTACGGCTGCCCTTTTGACGCCGCGTATCGTTTTCTCCCCTTCTTATGTGTATACGTGTACTTTCGTGTGTTGGTGTGTCTGTGTGTCACTCGTTTTCTCGCACGCGTCGTCGTCTCCCTCCTCAGTCCTCACCCGGCCGCACGCACACACACACACACATAACCACGAGGACGATGCAATACAATACACACATACGTACGTTGTACTACTGCAGTAGGGTTTCCGAATATATATACGGCGCAGAGAATGCGACTCGCTTGCATGTAGGCTTGTATCTCGTATTCTTTTCTCTCTCTCTCTCTCTCTGTTGTCTTTTTTTTTTGAAGCAAACCGCACTTTTACACGCTTTATATTTAGCGCAATAATATAATACATGTGGGCTCGTTGTGGTTTTTTTCCTCGCTCTCTCTCGACAACCGGTGTACAATATTATATACGTAATAATATTCGTCGCATCGATTACGCAATGATATACAGGTAAAATTTTCAACCCCAAAAGCTTCGAGCTTTTCCATCATAACGCAATAAAATGTAGTTTTAATAATGGACCTGACCGAGGCAATTAAGGTCCTCGCGCGCGCGCGCCAGCGGGTCCTTACAGCGACTGCGGCAGAACGAGGAAGGTAAAAGAGGGGGGCGCGCGATTTCACGGGTGAGCGAGTTTTTGTATAATAGCGATTTTATTAGCTGCGAAAGGAGCCAACCGCTCGGAATCGATTGGCCGCGCTATACACGTTTTGGAGCACACTATATGTGGCCGCAGCCGCAAGTGTATTATAATTCACGAAATCGTGTTGTACAAGATCGTTAATTTTGATCTCGCGCGTCGTGGAGCTTTTATATTGTACACGTAGAAAAGCTCATCGCAGTTGTTTTATTTAAAATCACCTTGATTACATTAACAACGCGCAATTACATGAAAATACTTTGGAGATTTCTCACTAATTAATAATTCGTGTTTACAACATTTGCATACGATACGAGATACACGCGAACGCGTAAGTGCAAATTTCGCAGAGTTATTTTTTAATTCTGGCAAGTTTCCGTTGAAAGTCGCGCGTATTCATTTATTTGCAATATAACATTACATATCCGCGCGCTTCTTAATTAAAATGTGCTCCGCCGGCCCGAGGTAAATACAATTATATAGAGTACTCGCGGCAGTGGGCTGTGCTACATCGAGTACATTTGTATTACAGCACAAACGTGTAGTGTACTAGGAATTTTTTTTTCTACTTTGTACACGCTAAAAGGATGATTTTAAAATCATTCGGAATGTTTACATTGCGCTACTATATATACATAAACGCAAAATGAGTACACGATTATCGCTGCAAGCTCGTAAAGAACGAAACCAAAAAAAAAAAAAAATCCCTTATAAAGCTCGAAAGTACGCGAAGCCGATTTACACCTACGTCGGTAGTAAAATATACAAAGGGAAGGAGGAAACAACGCGTGCCTAAACGAACCTGCAAAGGTATCCTGCTGTATCCCATGCTGCCCGGCCCATTATCGTAAAAAAAAGTCGTGTGCCGTCGTTATACAACGGGTCGTAAAAAGCGAGAAACCAAAGGCGGGCGTACAAACACATACACACACATATAAGTCGTGTCGCATGTATACATATAAGAACTTAACCTTTGGTCTCTGTCTCTCGCTGATTGAAATTAAGCACCTTGATAATATCGATCAAGCCTGTGGGTGCCGCGCAGTACATAACATTATAACGTTCGTGAATGTACGTTCTCCTTGACACGCGGACTTTTTTTTTCTTTTTAAGAGCTCTCGCGAGCGACAGGTCGTCCTTACGTACATCCAACCTGCGGATGTAATAACTATTATAGTGCGCTAGAGAGAGAGAAAAAAAGGGATGGTTGCGGGAATTGGTATATATACATCCCCGATGAGAAACGCCCGTTGTGTGTGTATCCGTTTATGCAATTTAATCTAATTCGCGCGCGCTCTCGGCGAAGTGGAATTTTAATTTCTCGAAATCGATCGTCATAGCGTCTTGCTCGAGTTTATTCAACTTTCGAGTGCAGAATGTACACTCTTGCGACTGAAAAACATTGTTACGAAGACGCGCGTATGTATTTACGCACATTTGCTCTCGCGATGTGTTTTCGATATTACATATGGTATAAATACAATAGGGAAGGGCGAGGCCCAGCTTGTAACACTTCAGGCATCGACGTTGAAGTGCTCGTACGTACGAATTTCAAGAGAGAAAGAGTCTCGATAGATGTATATAATATACACTTTTGCAGTGTTCCTTCTGCGATACGGCTGATGCACACGTGTCTTATGTACACACATACGCGCACAAGAGATACATCTGGAGAATATTCATCATCGAGATCGGGCCAAGGGGAGCGAGACAGAGAGGAGTATCGAGTTTTTCTCTGAACGTTCGATCAATCGATATACAAACACGCGCCCGTGCCTTCTTACAATTAAATATATTTTTGCTGGCACCTTTTAGCGCGCACACAAAGCTCATAGTACTCCTAAAGTAATGATAAAAATGATATAGAGGAAGAGAGTCATATTTTGTAAAATTATATCGACGTTATATCACCCGTAGCTTCGCTAACTAATTGAAATTGAAAATTCATAACATCACGCGTGATACAATCGTGTACTGTACATTGGAGTTTAGAGATGTACTTCTCATTTGTTTGAATATATTTATGCAGAGATATCACCAACATGCGCCTGAATGAATGGCATTTTCATCACAATGTCTGAGTAGCTTTTAATGACAAGTGAGTGTCCAATTGCGTAGGGCTAGTAAACTATGGAGGGGGAAAGCATCGCGAAGAAGCTATCGTAATCGTGGGGCCACTTTGCGGTCATATACGAGAAGAGTTCAGTCGCTAGTATAGCGAGAAGCTGAATTCCTATAGTAAGCAAGTGTTTACAAATTGGTGATATCGATGTACAGTGTTGCTTACTCTGCGTACTTAACCTAGAATATTTTCTCAACGCGTGTCGTGAAAATTCACAGCGATTAATTTACATAGTAATCAAGAGAGTAAAAAGCAAAGAAGATACACTTTGGTATTACTTTTTTAGTTCGTGCCATATTTTTTCCAAGCGGTCGCTTTATAAAACTTGATAGTTCCTCGTGATGAAGGAAGAACCGCGTGATAATTGGCCAGGTGTGGATGACGATTGTAATTTCGATTCGGTTGACTTTTGCAAAGTAAAAGACTTAGAAAAATTAAACGTAAGTTTAACAATGATTCGAATGATATTCAATTTTTCCATTATCCCCAATTTTTACGCAACTTTAATTTTAGGAAAATAACACGAATGAAGTTACGGCGTCACAGGAAAAGTTAACTGAAAAAATAATCGTAGATTGTGAGTGCGAAGGTGTTGAAACTGAGCTGAAGTCTTCATCGGCCACCATCTGCAAAACTGAGCGTCAAAATTATCAACCTAGCGTGAAAATAGAAAATGAAAATCGGATAAATGACATAAATCAAAAGATATTGATTGATTTTGAGTGTAAAGGTGTTAAGCTTGAACATAAGCCTTTATCGACAACAATATGCAAAACTGAATATCCAAAATACCCATACATTGCGAAAATAGAAAACCAAATTCAGACTAATAATTTGAAAGATAAAGATGTGATAACTTTGATAGAAAAAGAAATCGATTACGAAAATAAATATCAATTTCGAGTAGGAGAAGAAGCGAGAGTAAAAAGATCCATCAAAACATCACACAGAAGCAATGGACCATATAAATGTGACTATTGTCATAAATCATTTGGATACAAATTTAACTTAAAACCTCACATAAAAGCAGTACATGATCGTATCAAACCGATTGAGTGTAATATTTGTCATAAATCGTTCGGATTCCAGAGCGAACTCAAAAGACACTTAAATGCAGTGCATAATCGTATCAAACCCTTCGAATGTGATATTTGTCACAAATTATATGGTCGCAAGGATACCCTTAAAGCTCACATAAATGCAGTGCATGATCGTATCAAACCCTTCGAATGTGATATTTGTCACAAATCATTTTCATTCAAGGGTAATCTCAACCAACACATAGACGCAGTACATTATCGTAGCAAACCCTTTGAGTGTGAGATTTGTCACAAATCATTTAGACAAAAATGTCACCTTAAATGCCACGTAAATGCAATACATTATCGTATCAAACCCTTCGAGTGTGACATTTGTCACAAATCATTTGGACAAAAAGGTGCTCTCCAAATTCATATAAATGCAGTACACGATTGTATCAAACCTTTCGATTGTGGAATTTGTAACAAATCATTTGGACAAAAAGATAGCCTCCTAATTCATATAAATGCAGTGCATTATCGAAGCAAGCCCTTCGAATGTGAGAATTGCCACAAATCATTTGGACTCAAAGGGACCCTCAAAGCTCACATCAATGCAGTTCATAATCGCAGCAAACCATTCGAATGTGAGATTTGTCATAAATCATTTGGACAAAGATCTAACCTCAATACTCACGTTAATACAGTACATGATCGGAGCAAACTCTAGCAGAATAAGATTTGTGCAGAGGCGTTTGGATGGAAGTCTACATTCACATGTTAACAATAGGTCATTTTCAATGGTCTTTTCCATACGACATTCAATTTTTTGAAGGACAATAAAATGTTAAATAAAATTAAAAATGTAATTGTTTGGTTTAATTTCATATCGTTCTCTATACAAACCCCTAAAAGCAGTGATAATTTAGCTCACCCGTTAAAAAGTATATCTCATGTCAAATGACGGAGTTATTATTTTACAATTGTCGTTCGATTATAAGCGAAAATTCCAATGTCCAATCACAACTCTTTCATCCCGATGATGCGATAAGATCATCACTTTTTCAAGAAAGGATTTTTAAATATAACATCCGAAAAGACAAAAAAAACACATCTTTCAAATCATTCAACTCTGACCATATACTTTTTCCTTCGATCTCGGAGACGATCGATGATAAACAAAATAATCACGTGATACACGCGAAGACGCTATGCTCGAATATAATGCACGTAAGAAAGCGATGTAGCTCTGCGTCAACGTACGCAAAAAAAGAATCCTTTGTACAAAATGTCAAGCGAGCGCGCGTTTGACCTTAGCTTTTTTCTCGAACGCGACGCATGTCATTTTTCGCATACAAGCTGTAGGCACACACACATACACATTTTCATCGATGTCCTGGATTTCCTTAAACACAAAAATACGGAGCTGCTGGTAAAGGCAACGACGGAGAAAAAAGGGTGGAAACTTGCGAGTAGTTTGCATGTAAACACCACACGATGTAATGCGAAAAAAGCTCGCGATCCTTCGCGCGTGTACAGCCGCGTGACGTATAGACGCGCTCATGCTGTTTATTCTTCGCTGTACGACGCTCGTATCTTCTCCTCATCCGCAAATATTCACCAGCCCCCTTTGTGCGCGTCTGCGCGACGGTGACGACGCGACACGAGCTGCCGCGAGGAAACATTTACTGAAATTAGATCGGACGCGCACGCGTATCATATAGGGATGCGTGTATACTCGGTTCTCTTCTTCTTTTTTTTTTTAAAGGTTCTTTTCGAGCAAACGCTCCGTTTAATTTTACGATTTTCTCCGCCGTTATGCCTTCTTTGTCGAGAAAAATGAGATAACTTTTTTTTAACTATCGATCTCCCTTTTTCTCTCTCGTTTCAGCGCTGTACTTTCCGCAATCGGATCTGAGCATAAGAGTGCCGAGCCTGGGCAAGAATCAATTGGGATCGGGAATCGTGCTGCTGTCGGCCCGAACGTTGAACAACGACTCGTCGGTGCCCACCGAGGCGACCTATCAAATTTTGCCGCTTAAGGACAAGTCCGCGGCTCTGGTCAACGGCAGCGTCGTTCTGCTCGACGCTCCCAGAAGAGGTGAGTGGCAATAAAGAACGATTGATGATAATCGTAATAACAGAGTGACGCAGGGATCGAAACGTTAGTACGAAGTTTCACGCATAGGTGGCGAGTGAGTGTAATTATAAGATCACGCAAGTGATTTAGCAGCTTTGAAACGTTAAAAATAATACGAACATAATAAAACATATCTCACAGATATTTCTGAATGTCGAAAAAACGTTTCACATTAAAAATGATTTATGTTTTTAATTGTATAATAATTTAATCTTTTAGCTCTAACATTAAGCATTTAACTATAAAATTTAATACGTGAAAAATTACTCAGAATTTTTGAAAAGACCCATTTGAATTTTTTCAGAATTCTTAGAGCGACCTTTGGATTTTTGGGCGTGACCATTTCTTTGAAAAATCCAAAAATACAGAAAAAAAAAATTTAGGGGTATTCTTTGAACAATTCTAAAAACTTTTTCTGCAGACAACTTTTATAAAATTCATTTCAAAATTGACTAATTGGCTTTCGAAGGGTTGTTTTTTAATAAAGTTTTACTGCAATAAAAAAAAATCATAATATTTATACACCTCAATTTTTAACGATTATCGCGAATCGCTCATACACGTCTTGGATTTCGATTCGCAGGCAGCACGGAAACCATCGTCGTCCAAGCGACGGGCAAGGCCGGCGCCGAGGCCTTCCTGGAGATAAAAGTTCTTCCCCAGTACGCGAAGAATGGCAAAATCAATTGCACCGATTACGTGCAGGTAATTAATTTCGACGGTGTTATATACGCTCGCGCGAGCGTTCGAAAATTATTACTTTTGTTTCTGGTGCGCACGATTCACTCGCTGCTCTTTCTTCTGTTTGTTTTTGTTCCCCTCTCCGTTACGCAGGACATATGCTTTTGGAACTCGTCCAGGTACCGAATTTACGAGAATCAGCCGACGACGATGCTCGGCACGCTGGGCCCGAGTTTCTACCAGACGCTCTGCCCTCAATTCTTCAAGCCCGAGTACGACTTGTTGAATGGTAAAAAACAACAACGAAAGCATCAAAATAATAACAAAATCTGCGCGTCGATCGCAATATACATTCATCTCTATATATTTTCTCCTCCTCCTCCAAGGCACCGAATTCTTCCACCTGTCGAACGACCGGCTCTGGGCCAACGCCTCGCTCGACCGGGACAGCTGGGACAAGCCTCGGGGCACGGGTCCGCGCGCCGCCTGCGAGGTGCGCTGCGTCGTCTGGGACGAGACCACGGGCATACAGTACACCCGCGAGAAGGTCCTGCACGTGGACGTGCTCGACGAGAACGACAATCCGCCCGTGTCGCAGACCAACACGAGCGTGCACATCTACCTCAAGGACTTTTTGCAGGTAAAAGAGCTCGGTTGATTGATAAACGAGCTGAACGACGCGTGATTATTGTTATTTATATATACGTATGTATTTGCGTGCGAAACGTCTTGATGTTTGTGTGTACATCAGACGGCGTTTGTATAACCTCGCGTGCTCTCCGCGCGGACGAGTTTGATAAAAAAAAAAAAAAAAAAAACACACACACACACACAGAGAGACAGAGAGAACTGCCACGCGCGAAACGTCACCGTAGCGAGAGAAACATAAAGACATAGGAAGAAAGCACAGTCTGATCCTGATTAAACTCTGCACGTGGATGAGGAGGCGCACGAGCGAGAAAAATATCTCTTTCTCTCTATTTCATACTCGCTCTTTATGTGTACACGCCCATTTTTTTTCGATCCGTGTATATATATCACACGCTCGGCTATGCAGTATAGTCTCTCTTTCTCTTTGTATAGCTAAGTATACGCCATGAGGCGAACTTTTTTTCTCGCGAGAGGTTTATTTCGCGCTCGAACTTGTTACGATCTGGCACCGCGCGCGAGAGACCCGAGAGAGCAATTGGAAAGACGTCGTGCGACGTGCCAAACTTTCGATGATTGCGCCTTCATTAGCTCGAGAGTGACTCTACTTTAGGGGAAAACGTTAAAGAAGAATCGACGAGAGGAAAAAAAACGGACGGCGAAATGATTGAAGCATCATCATCGGTCCGTACTCGACGGCTCGCTGCAGCGCAATCTTTGTATCGCTGTACGACGCTTCTCATTAGTCGGAATTTTGGCTCCTCTCCCGCTTTATTATTATTGTACATATTACTCGACGTTTTGGCCGCGCGCGGCAATTTTCCTTTTCCTTCGACTTTGTATACATATTGATTGTAAGACGAGGTGCTCTAAAATACCCGAAGAGACGCAAAGAGCGATTATATACATAAGCTGTTCGGAGACATATGTAGGGTAAGCACTTGCTGGAAGAGACGTACGCGTAACGATACATATTGCGGGGCGTCGTTTGTCGAGCTGAATTCGCTCTTTAATCGGGACTGAGGCGGAATCTGCAAGGAAAACGTTTATACGGGGGTTTATATACACCGTCGTCGGCGCAACCCATATAACTCGACTCTTGAGATTTTCTCGTTATAAATCACGTAATTGCGCGTCGCGTAACAGTGCCGCGAGATCGATGGGATCGTGGGCTGCTTCTGATGTGTTACGAATGAGCTGGATATAAACACGGCAGCTTCGTAAAGCTCTACGCTCTATATCATTCTCGATCGTTTGAAAACGATCTACAATAAAATGTGAAGAAAAAAAAAAATAAATTGTGCGATTGTCTCGTTTTCAGGGTGACAGACTGGACGAGCAGGATCTGATTTTCAAGGACGCCGACGACGTGAGCACCAACAGCTACGACATCAGGCTGCTCGAGGACCACCACAACGCCCTGAACTTGGTCTGGAACACCATGTCGGTCGATCATCCGAAGATGCCGCCGTCCACGGCCATTTTCGCACGTGAGTTTTCAATCGTCGAGCCATAAACTCGTCATTCGAAAGAAAAAAAAAGTAAACCATTTATTTACCACTGCTGCATTGATCTATACACAGGACTGTACTCGAAGACGACGCTGCTGCCGAAATCGCCGTATCACGTGATACTCCAAGTCTCCGACGTATCCTTGCTTCCCGGCTACGGCAATAACACGGTAAGTTATTGGCCCTTTCTTTCCTCGCGATCGTTTGCTCGTTGTACGCTCAGCTACATTCGTAGAAATTCATTAGCGCGCCTCCCGGAAATTAATTGCCGCGCGGGTTTCGGGGCCGATTCGACGACGAGCCACGCCTCGCATTATACATAACCGACTCGCGGATGCGAATAATAATGCATCGATTGCATCCTCAATAAAAAAAAAAAAATTCCCCGATACAACGACGAGGAGGCCGCTACGGCGGCGGCGCGTTAATTAAGAAAAATATCGGGCGCCATTGTTTTTATATATATACGCGCGCAATACGTTTCCTCTGATACTTATAACGGCGCACGCATAGGCGCACACACATACATACACACGAGAGGGTTTATATGTGTACAATAGTGCGCGCGGCGTTCGGGAAAAACTTTTCGCAAAAGTATAAGCCGCGCGTACGTACCCCCCAGCCAATGGTCGAGAGAGTGAGAGAGAGAGAAGGAAGTGGAAGAAAAAAAGTCGCGCATCGGCTTTGCTGGCGCTAGTCGAAGAAAAAAAGCTAGAAAGAGAGAGAGAGAGAGAGAGAGTGAAAAGTTTTAGATACTAAAATCCTCGTTAAAAATGCCTATAGAAAATCTAGCCTTGACGCATTCAGCGCGGTATTACATTTTTTTCTTCTTTTTTGCTCATCTCTGCCTCTCTCCGCGGTTCTAGAGAGCAATAATGACAATAGACGCCACGAGATATAGAGAAAAAGAGAGAGATGAGAGAGGAAGTAGCTCGTCACGGATCGCGCGCGACGTTTTTCCCTCATTTTTTTTTTTTATTCGAGAAAAAAAAATATGTATATTTTCTTTATCTTGCCTGCGATGCTGTATAGCCGCAAAGTTATTTACTATTTTCTTCCTCGTTCTTTCTTTTCTTTTCGCGATGACGGAGAGAAAGAGAGAAATGAGGATTTTAAAGAGGCTTATGTTAGTGTACGCGTTGGGGATAGGCATCGCGATAGCTATAGCGGGATCGAAATGATGTAGTACGAAGCTTCGAGTATAGGTGGCGAATCGTGGCACAAATTATGGCATCGCGCAAGTGGTTTAGATAACGTAATCATTTAAGAATGAAACGGAAAGTTTCATGATGAAAAAAACGTTACTTGATAAAAAGTCATAATGGGTTTTTATTTATTACGTATTTCAAATTCGATCTAGATTCAATGTCCTTCACTATATTTCAGACAGAAAGAGAGAGAGAGAGAGAGGGAGAGCAATGAGGATTTTAAAGAGGCCTATGTATGAGCGTACGTCGGGGATACATCCCGATTAGGTCGCTTTTCTTCTCTTTTTCTTTCCCTCTTATTCTTATTTTCCCGCGGCATCGAGGATCGATCGGCCGGAATAAAGTCGTCCTGCACGTGTCGCGCGCAGCTAAATCCATTTTATCCCTGCCTTATAATTCTCTACCAATTTTCCATCCCCTTTCACCCAAAACCGTATACGATGAAATTCACTCTTGTATCCCGTACAGATCAACATCACGCTGTCGCTGATGGGACCGCAGCATTACACGTCGACCACGGCCCCGTCCAATCATCCCGACGGACTGTCGGCGCTGACCGCCTCGAAGAAACCGGGGGCGACGGCGGCGATCGTTTACACGCAGGAGACGATACTGGTGTCTCGCTACTCCGGCCAGTACTACAGGATAACTCAGCCGCTGCTGCTGGCCCAGAGAGAGGCGGCGGCCGTGCAGTTCAGCCTGCGCGGCCCCAAGGCATTCAACGTCACGAGCAAGGGCGGCATCGTTTACGTTGCCGATCCCCAGGCGCTGGCTGCCATCTCCAATGCGATCAAGTAAGGATAATATGTCTTGATGCATAATGCGATATGTAGCTCACGTCGGTAGACGACGCTGAACATTGGTCGTGGCTTTTTATTCGGAAAATTAAAATTCAAAATGTTTCAAAATACAATGCTATTCATTGGTCGATTTTAACGATTTTTCTATTAAAATTATAAAGTGAATTTTAAATAATTTGACAAAGATAGTTTGACCATTTCGAAAAGTTTCGATTAGTTTTCGATAGCTTTTACTGCATACCACTTTAACCTTTCACCACTTTAGATGGCGAGTATTTTGATTCTGTGAATCTGCAAGTGGCAAAGTCAAAATAATGGTATAACACAGGTTTGCAAAAATGTGCCTGTCGTTTTTTAAATCGAATTTCGCATAGGCATATGTCTCCTGCACTCCTTCTTAAGAAGGATAAATAGAGAAGAAAACCAAATTTAATAATTTGAACTTTCCAATCAGCCTGAGAATCGAGTGGAAAGCCGCCAACGAGGCGAAGCCAACCTCTTACGCGATACTGTCGCTGAAAATCGTCGATCTGACGGACGCCTGCAAGCAGAATCCCGCGAACGGCCGCTCGTGCGCCAACGCCAAGACGGCCCAGGAGTGCCAGGGACGCTGCGGCATCGCGGCCGGCGGCAATTTCAGCGGCAATTCGACGAGCCAAGTTAATGGGACGACGACGACGACGAGCGGCTGCGCCTGGCGCTCCAACGGCAACGGCCAGGCCAGCAGCACCATGACGGAAAAGTACGAGACCTGCTCGGCCAATCTCAAGTACTGTCCGGACAACGTGTGCGACGAGCTCGAGTATCTCGATCTGCGCATCTGCCCTCAGGACTGCGCCATCGAGAGTGAGTAAAGATTAATTTATTTCTTAATCGCGACGGAAAAAGTCTACTTCGTTAAATCAGAAATTTATAAGTACTGATTAATGTTTTACATTAGTTAATCGAAAATTCATAAGAATGCAATCGTAATTAAAGCCAGCCGCTGCCACCAGATGGCGAGTACTTTAATAGGTAAATCTGCAAGTGGCAAAGTGAAAATAATTTTATAAATAAAGATAAAGTACTATTTTAGACATTTATAATTTGACGAGACTTTGCAGTAGACTATTTTCATTTAAAATGTAGAAAATGTAGAAATTCAAAATTAACTACATGAATAATAATGCCAAGGAGTAAGAAGTTTTTTCTCCATTTTTTCTACAAATTTCTCAATTTATATTTTGAAAAGTTGCTACCATACGAAATCTCTCAACGACCGAGAACTAGAGCGAAAAACGAGCAATATCCACGCTAGTAAATACGTTATATCGTCCAACTTTCTTTACCAATTTTTTCCTCCCTCTTCCCCCCCTCCGCAGCGGAATTGCGCTTCGCCGAGGTGAACAAGGCCGGCCGCGGCATCAAGCGCGGCTTCGGCACCTGCTGGTGCGAGGACTTTCTCATATGCACCTGCGGCTCGAGCTTTCGCGACATGCCCATGTCCGGCGAGAACTCGCTCGCTCGCTCCGCGAAAAAGGATCAACAGCAGCAGGGACGAGACAAACCGACGGCCGTCGACGTTCAGCAAGGTGAGTTCGTACATAAATAGACTCGCGAGTCCTTTTTAATTGTATAAATATTTTTATAATTGGTTATTGGAAGTTTTGGTGCGTAAGTATCGCGCGGCTATGTATAGAGGGTAACTCGAGCCAATGCTTATATATATACTACATTCGTAAATTGGAAAACTTTCAACGCGACATAACGAACGTTTACGATTGAATTTATAACTGCGGCAAATTGTCGTTGAAATATAATTAAGCTCGATGTTTTGATTGCTTCGCCTCGAACAGGCAATTTCCGCGGAAAGTATATATTATATCTAAGATGACATATACATAACATTACGTAATTCATTCCAGCCGCGGGTAGCATGTGTGGCACTTCGTGCCTGATCGGGGTCTCGGTGGCCTGCTCGTTCGCCTTCGTCAGCTTCATGGCCATTGTCTGCTTCTGGAGAACGAGGTAAGTCAGCGCGTCGTAATAAAGCTCAAAAATAACAACTAATTCACGTACACATCGTGAAAGCTCCAATTTTAACCTTTGCTCTTTTTTTTGGTATTTTACGACTTATACAAAGTCATTATCGTCGAGCACTTGGTCGCTCGGTGCATATAAGCTCGAGCGTACATACGCGGAGCTTTTAACGAAAAGCGCGTGTATCGGCTCTTTTTTTTCGGCGCGCAGTTTAATTTTCTCGTCGCAAGCTCCACTGGGTTTTCTCTCCGCGTTATTTTTGTTGTTTTTTTTTCTCCGCAAGCACGGGTGATATTTTATTTTCTCTCTTTCTTTCTCTTTTTTTTTGCAACATGCCATAAGAGGCGTACATAGCAGAAGAGAGAGAGAGAGAAATAGACGCGGGAAATATGCACGCGCGCCCGCGCCCGGCATGTATGCATAACCTGAATGCAACGAATGCAGAGCGGCTGAGCTCTCATACCTGTGCCCCCCGTATACTAGAAGATATATATACGCGTATACATATCGCGTTTATACGTGTATGTACAACAGCTTCTGGGCTTTTTACTCTTCTATCTTTTTTTTTCCTTTTTTTTTTTTTTTGCTCCACTGTGTAAACGTCAGATAATGCGCGCGATTAGCCAAAGCGCGTGTATGTGTGTTTTTTAACTACCCACCCCCCACCTTTTCGTAACCCACTGTGCTGCGTGAGTGATGATATATACGCAAGCCGGTGTGTGTGTGTGTGTGTGTGAGTCGTGACGTTACATTATCGTTCGGTGTGTTTCCGCGACGACAGAGTCTCTCCCACGCGTCCTCGCTCGAGCTTTGATTAATAAATGATCGTAAAGCGCTTGATACACGTAATACACCCGCCTCGCTTTTATAGCCCCGTAAAATGAAACGACACATAAATAAATGAAAAAAAAAAAAAAAACTAGATCGCGCACGAAAGTGAAACAACGACAAAAAAATATCTAATTTCTGCTCTCTCCTCCTCCCTTTCCAGAATCGCGTCGAAGGTGTCGCGACGCAACGGGGGCGGCTGCATGCGCCGGGGCAGCAGCGACACGGACGCACACGGCCTCGGCATACTGCCGCAGGACTACGTCGAGCGAGGAGCAGCAGCCGCGGCGGCGGACTCGAGCGGCGTAGGAGTAGGCAACGGCCTGCTGATTGGCCTAGATTCCATGACTGCAATCAATCGCTCGCTAATGCCACCCAAGAGTCTCACGGTAAGTGTGTGTGTGTGTGTCTTTGTGTGTACATATAATAATATCATCAAGACGCTTTCTGCGTTGTGTACACAACAGTATATATATATATAAAATCTTATCACGAGGTATCATATGCCGCAAGGATAAATATCGTATTCTGTTTGACTTTCACGCGGGCTCTAGAGAGAGACACAGAGGATATATTCTAGATATAAAAGCGCATATAAATACTTTGATATGCGCCGCGTCGGGCGACCGACTTTAATCCGTAATAATGTATATTTTCACACGTATTTATATACTGCTCTCTTTCGCCGTACTATATACGTTGATACGTGTCCTGCGTGAGCTAGAGTCGCATACGTCCAATTTCGTTCCCATTTTTATTTTCTTCCTTCTTCTCGCTTCTTCTTCTTTACATGATTATTTTTCTTTCACACCTATATATATACCAAGCCGGGGCGCGCGCGCGCGCCCGAGACGTTTTGAAAAACGGTCAAGCCTCGAGAGCTATATGTATACAGTTTACGTACGTGAGAGGAGAGCACAAACGAGCCAGAGAGAGTGAAAAAAAACTCGTACGTATATATATGAGGCTGCGGCGGCACACAGCCCCAGGGTGTGCGGAAAAAAGCATAATTCAATGCATCGGAGTTCTCGCAGCGGTGGCAGTATAGCACCCCTCGGTTATTATTCTATGCGATGAAATTCTACAACCTATATTCCGATAAATCGAGTAGTCGCCACCGTTGCTCGGGTAAGATGGCAAAGTGCTTTTCAGTGTTACATCGATTTATTCGTATAGGCATTTGTATGTTCATTATCGTATTATAATATGTAAGGACGCATAGGTGCTTTTTTCTATACATTGGAAACAATAGAAAATAAAATATTATTTTTTAATTTTTACTATTCAATGAAAAACATTATGTTAGTTCGAGTCTTTTTAGCTTAGAAAGTATATCTCAAGTAATATCAAATAAGTCAAATTATTTCAGAAACATACAATAATGATTTGATTCCACAGAGGATTTTGTCGCATTATTAAATCCACATTTGACTATTGTATAATACTTTCTTATTTACTCCGTCTTTAATAAGATAGGTTCACATGCGTTTAGAAAAATTAAATTTTTGCCTACTTTTTGCATTTCAAATGTACCAGAAATATTTCTATACTTTTTTGTACGAAAAAAAGGAAATGTTTACAATTACTAGCCAGTGCCTTGAGTTATAATATACAGTTACTTTGATTTTGTCACTAGCAGATTTGTAGAATTAAGGGTACTCGCCATCTAGCGATGGAGACTCAAAGTCGCACTATCACATTAAAAGTTAAAAACTGTTCTAAATTTTTGGAAACAATAAAATTGTCGTTCTCGTGTCATCTAAAATGCGCTTAATACTTGTTACATAATTTTAATTAAAAAATTCCCAAAAACACTATAAAATATCATCATCGTTTACACGCGTCAAAAATTATCGTTTTCTCAAACTCGTTGCTATTTCTCCGCGACAGACCGACCCCAAGTGGGAATTTCCACGGGCCAGGCTGCAGATCGAGCAGGTGCTGGGCGAGGGCGAGTTCGGCCGGGTGCTGCGCGCCAAGGCGCACGACATCGCGGGCCAGCCGGGCGTCCAGACGGTCGCGGTCAAGACCCTCAAGGAGTGCGCCAACAGCGGCGAGCTGGCCGATCTGCTCTCCGAGTACGAGCTGCTGAAGGACGTCAAGCATCCGAACGTGATCAGGCTGCTGGGGGCCTGCACAGGGGCCAGCGGCCCGGTCTATCTCATCATCGAGTTCGCCGAGTACGGATCGCTCAGGTAAGGAGAAAGTGTGTATACGTGACACTTTTAGACTTTGAACGAATGAAAAGAGAGAGAGAAAAAAACGAGCGGATGAATCATCCCCGTCTGCTACGAGTGAATGTGTGTGTGCGTGTGTAAACGTGGGCGAGAAAGGGAAACAACTAATATGCATGCAAATAAGCGGCCGACGGGACACGACAGATCGTCGTCGGAGTCGTGGCGCGTTCCATAACCAGCAGCAGCACACCTATATATACAATTCCTCTCCTTCTCGCCACGCTTTATACGCCACGTTCTGGCCAGCAAATTTCCACAATTATAAAGCTCCAGTTCAGCGCGTACACCCCTTTATTAAAATACTTCCATCTTAAGATACCTTTCTTAATAATTTCTCGCGCGTTTCGCAACACTTAAAACTACTTCCTGCATTATATGTATTCCTGAATATTTATATAAAGCAAATGCGGAAAGAAAGACAGAAAGAAATGCTAAATTGCGAATCTTGCAGAAATTACTTGCGCAAGAGCCGACACTTGGACACGGACGGCAGATTGCCCAGCGCCATGTCGCAGCAGCTCTTATCGTCGTCGTCGAACAACGGCCTGATGGGTACGACGACGACGATTATGGACGAGACGTCGCTCACGAGCAGCAACGAGTCCATCACGCCCCGCGACATCATCTCCTTCGCCTGGCAAATTAGCAAGGGCATGGCTTATCTCGCCGACGTCAAGGTATATTATAAAAGAAAACGGAACGATTTTTTCTCTCTCGATGTGCGATATCGCGCAAACTTGTACTTCTTTTTTTTTTCTTCGCACAGCTGGTACATCGAGATTTAGCGGCGAGAAACGTGCTGCTGGCGGCGGGCCGGCAGTGCAAAATATCCGACTTCGGCCTGACTCGAGATATTTACGAGGACGACGCTTACTTGAAGCGCAGCAAAGGCAGAGGTAACGTATATTATTAGGCCGTACGCTATACGTGACATTGTTTTCGGTGACTTTATTTTACCTATATAGATATGATGTATAAAAAGTTATAACTAGCGCGCATTTGTCAATCAAACGACGGAGGCTGCTCTTTACGCTCCGAAAACTCGATAAAATCGATATTTTACATAAACGTATTATATGGTATCGATGAAAGTTTCTCACGCCCGCGTATAACGACGTTCGAGAACTAGGCCTGCAACCGTACTCGATGCCGATAACTTTATTTCGTTATCTTTTTTTTTTTTTCGTTCACGTTAATTCTCTGATCTCACCGACGACGACGACTTCGCAGTGCCGGTGAAATGGATGGCACCGGAATCGCTGGCGGATCACGTCTACACGAGCAAATCCGACGTCTGGAGCTTCGGGATTCTGCTGTGGGAGCTGATAACGCTGGGGGCCTCGCCCTATCCCGGCGTCGACGTGCACAATCTCTACAATTTGCTCAAGTCCGGCTACCGCATGGACAGGCCGGCCAATTGCTCCACGCAGCTGTGAGTTACTGCTTTTAATTTTATTTGTTTATTTGTTTCTTTTTATCGAACTATTTTGATTTCTCGAACGATTTGTACATCGATAAAGTGTCGATACGAAGAGCATGGGAAAATTCAATTTTGCCTCTAAAATGAGATACATGAAAAATTTTTCCAAGCTACGCGCTCGAAGCACGAGTGGAAGTGAAGTTTTTCCAGCACGTCTAGTACAAAATTCGTTGATGTCTGCGGAAAACCCCCAGGAGAAACGCACTCGCGTCTTACAACATTTTTCCTCTGACATCTCGATGAACGTGCTCGAGATATTTCATTTTCATCTTGGTTATCGTTCCAATTTTTCGACGACGAGTTTGCAATAACTCAAAGCTTCAAAAAATTATTGCTAGATCTATTTTTAATTCCAAATTACGATGAACAAATTGTTTAATCGACACGAATATCTCATCCACGCATTGCATTCGAAATTGCACTATACACAGTCTGACCGAGTGTCGAGCGTAACTACTTGAAGCTCGTTTCTTTTTTCGCAATCCTAAACATATAGAAAAAGCAAAAAAAAAAAAAAGGAAAACAGATGAAGAAACTCGAAACGCTGCGAGGTGTCCTCGTTTTTTTCATTTCCATTCGCGACGCGCAATTCCATTACGCGAATTCCATTCAAAAAAATTCCGCAGTTGTTGTAAAACAGAAAAAAGGTCGCGCTTCTCCACGCGCTGTAGTCCTCGAACTTGCGCCTAGGAATTTTAATATATATAAAAAGTAACTCGTATTATACCGCGTCTCCTCGACGCATTAAAACATTAAAACAAAAATGAATAGGGGAAAAAAGTAAATAACATATATTTTTTTTTCCTTACAGCTACAAGCTGATGACATCGTGCTGGCACGACGAGCCGGGCCTGCGGCCGTCCTTCAAGGAGCTCGCCCTCGTCTGGGAGGGTATGCTCGAGGCCGCCGCGGACTATCTCCAACTGGCTCAGCCGCGAATGGTGCACAATCAGGCCTACTTCACGTCGCTGAATCCGCTCGACAGTCCGCGAAGCACAGCCAGCAGCAGCGGCGAGTACGAGCAGCCGCGCAAAATACCGAGATCGGTCGCCGCCGCCTCGGCTGCCTCGACCGTGAGCAGTCGCAGCAGCAACAACAGCGACTCGATCAAGCGCGACGAGTCGGACAAGGACACGGCCGTCAATTATCTGAACAAATCTCTGGCTGGTCAGCATCGTTCGAAGCAGCAGCAGCAGCAGCAGCTGACGTCCAAGTGCGACAAGGTCGACAAACTCGAGGACCTGTGGCAGGTGGATCATCGTCTGCGTCAGCCGTCGAGATCGAACTACGTGAACGAGTCGGCCCAGGAGGCCTATCAGCGCCACTACGAGAGCCCGATAAGACTGAGGAATCGCAGCGTGGCGAGCAACAGCGAGAACGAGTCGACGACGACGCCGACGGGACCGTCGCCGGACGACGACGAGGATATTCAGGCTGGTGGTGGTAGGCCGCAGTCGTACATCGACATGCAGTCCGGAACCGCCGGGGCGAGCTCGACGACGACGACGACTGCCGCCGACAACGGAGGAGCCAAGATGAAACTAGCCGAGGCCGAGAGTCTGCTCATGTCGTTCGGGGGCGGCTCGGAAATCGGAGTTTAAGCGCGTGAATGAATGGTTGGGTGTATGAATTCTTCGATCGGGGGGAAAAAAAAATTAAAGTGTCTTGAAGATTTAAGTAAAATCGGTTATAATAATTATGAATCAAGCCTTAACGAAAATTACGATATTCGATGTAGCGTTGATACGGTTGATAAAAACATTTTATAACTACCATATAGTCTATGTAGCAACGATGTAGTTTATAGAGAAAAATAATAATAATAATAATAATAATGAAAATGTGCTTGCGTATAACAGAGCATCGTGTGAACGCGATCGTGTAAAACGAGGTAATCGATGTGACACACGCGCTTATAGAAAGATAAAAAGAAAAGTTCCACATGCAGCCTAGTCAAACGTATCGTTATAAAATCTTTGTGTAATATATCTATGAAGCTCCGGGAAGAAATTCATACGGTGTGACGAGAGCTCTCATTTATACTTTATTAATGTAAATGTATGTTTTAAAAAATAGATTAAAACCATGTCTTCGATGTTTATATTTAAGTAAATTAACGATGTAGTAAGTGGAATGATGATCTCGCGATTTTAGTCCTACCCCCATACTTTATATCCCTCCCCCTCCGCAGGACATTCCATTGTTTAATGTTTATAATGAAAAATAATGAAAAAAATGCAGGGTTCGTATTTTTAACTCGTGTTATGGGTATTTTTTTTGTACATCGTGACAATCAGCTATAGATAGAAAAAGAGTCGATTGTCGAGGCGTTTAACCAAAGACTTGAATTTTGTTTTTATCGCTCTCTCGCGCATTCTTTCTCATTTTTTCGAAGACAAAGAAAAATAAACGATATTTTTTAATAATAGATGAAAAATTAACGAAATCATCGTAGCGAAAAAGTAGGATTTAGCAATTGAATTTGTAATCGTGGCAAGGACTGTAATAGACGAATAAGAAATGTTAGAATTATAATCAAATTAACGTAAGTTTTCTTCCACATTGTGTACGTTATAACAAAAAAATAACCCTTTTTCATCGATCGATGCTGTACATATGATTTGTTGAATTCGTTCTGTGATTTGATAATTGTACATATTATATACATGCGTAGCTTTAAGTTTTTAGCTTATTATATCAAATACGTTACAGAACGTAATGGCATTACTGTACATTTTTTGAATAATTTCGTTCGCCAAGGCAGAACACGATATTGTACATTTTTTTCGTAAAAAAAAAAAACAATGGATTTAGTTTGTATTCTTAATGCTTACTCGAATGTGTCGGTATACTGCACTCGATGTGGCCGATGACTCGAACTCTTTGTAAATAATCATCGTCTTTGTGCCGATTCGATGTCTCACTTTAATTTCACATTTTTCGATTGTACAATTTTTGGATGAAAAATAAATGTGCTTTTTTTAACGATATACAATTGTAAATAACACCCACCACACGCGCGACTTTGTTCTTTGTCCTTTCGTTCGAGGTTTTTTTTTCGTCTCGACTCGCGAAAGGGCGGGAGAGACGATCGCTGCACTCCGCCACTGCAGCGACGGTTGCTCGCTCGCGCGGTGCTCCGACGCGCACTGCCAACATTTTGGCGCCAAACGCGACGGGTAAACACAAACGAGAGTCAAAATATTATGATTTACGATCGGGGTCAGCTCGTGAGCTTCCGTAATATTTTGCTCCGATAATTTGTAAGTACATACTTTTAAAAGGCCGACGATTCGGCCGAGCGTCTCGCAGGTACAGACACAACACACAACGACACACGACGCGCGCGCGCACGGACTCCGGAGTTCGCGTAACGGTCGATTTTACAGGCAAGTTTAAAAAAAAAACGAAAAGAACGCGTTTTTGAACCGAGTTCGATATAAAGTTAATTGATTGTCTAGATTCCGACGAAGATTTTAAAGACTCCGAGATGGCGTACTATCAACTGAGCCGAAGCGACCAAATTATAATGCTACTCGTGCACATGTACGTGTTCACGATTTACGTCTGCCTGATAAACTTCGTCTTCGACGATCTGCTCGAGCTGGGAAACAGGAGAGCTGCTCGTCGAGTCGTCTCAACGACGGTGGAGCAAGAGAAGTTCGAGGCGCAGCAACAGGAAAACGAGACGAGGACCAGAACGACGAGTTCGCGAAGATCATCCCGATAAACATTGTGTTATTATATATTTGCTGATGGTAATTGGTTTCAAATATCATAATGTGCAGATGTTTATTTCATCTTCGTTCATAATCGAACGAAGGTGCTGTTGTTAAGATAAATTGTATATAGATGAGAAGTCGGAATAACGAGAATAAATGTTTCGTCGTGGTTGAATCAAATCGTACGTTTCTTTGCTTTTCTTTTTATTACAGAAATAAATAAAATTCTGTTTCTCATTCAATCGTTTGTTCTTCGCTTACGTCGCTAAATATATATAAAAGTAAAAATCTTATACAAAAGCAGTTTTTCAAACTGTGCATCGTTAAAAATCTACAAATTTAATGTGTCGATACAAAATTTGGAGCCACCGGCTTGTGCGTTGAAACTTTGAGTCTCAATGTCGCCGTCGTTGCTCTCGCCCAGCAAATTCAACTCCTCTATATCTGTTTTGAACATTTTTGGCGCGCTTCGAATGATTGGCGGTGATTTCTTTTCACCCTGTGTCTCGATAACAGCTTTTATTTCAACGACAGTCTTATCTTTATCATTTGGCAAGAGAAAATCGTCTGAAAAAAATGAAAATTAACTTCACTTTTGTACCATGGAACAAAAGATATTCAAATTTAGCAAAGAAAGTCCTTATTACCATTTTCTTCAGTACTCGGTGTGCTTCTTTCGCTTATATACATTTGCATAGACGCTATCTGGATAGAATCAACGAAATCCCTGTCCCAGGCTCTGAAGTAATTTATATAATCATTCTGATGAATGGTCCTAACTAATTTGTCTAAATCTTCTGGCATGGAAAATTGCTTGAAATGTCGCGCTTCTTTCGGAATATCGTCCGGCTTACAATACGGAAACTGTAAGGCATAATATTTTTTATTTCCTCTGCAAAAGTTTTCTTTCAGCAAAGCCATGACGTGTTTGTCCAAGTTGCGATACATAATCGGTGCTATTCGACCTGTGTCAGGTGATGCTGCGATGATTATTATATCGGCCCTGGCGTAAGATTCATTACACCAAAGATAAGGATCCTGACAAAAGAAACGATATTTGAATTTTTGTTGGACAGTTATTTCAATTTTTTCTCGCTTATATTTTACCTTGTGTTCACTACACGGGATGTCTTCATTATCGATCATTGCGTCGATATTGCAGCATTTTAAGTAACGCGCCAGATCTAACATTACATTTACATGAGCCATATGAGTCGGTGAATAAACCAAAAGGCACTTGGGTTTTCTTGCTTGTGCAAGTAAAAATTCTAAAATAAAATTTTTCATCATTATTTCATGTATTATAACAAAGCACTTCATTATCAGTATAATAAATTTACCTCGTTTTTTAATATATTGAAAATATCGAAGAATAAGATACAATATCACAGGTGGGATCCAAACAACACTTATAATCATGATATACAAACGACCGGGAGGTGGAACTGAAATAAAGTAATTGATTTTGTTAAAAATAATGTAAATTAGAATATCTATAGGTAGTATTTATTACTTACGTATATTAATAACAGGGGATGTAGTATTTCTACAACCATTATCTGGACATGTAGGGTGAAGAGCTGCTACATGAATAACATTTTCTCCATCTCCCATAATGAATTTATGATGGATATGATGATTTTTACCAGAATCTTCAAGTACTACTACTTGTGTATGATTAGTTCCTCGGTTGATAGCCCAAACTTTATATTGTGTTACATTATATTTACGTGATATGGGTTGTATGTATAAACCTACAGAAGTTTCTTCAGAAACATCAGTATAAATGAATGGAGAGAATAGTGTAAGATTATTATTTTCTGTAGTAGTTTCTGAAAAATTAAAACTTTGGTTATTCATTTCACTTTGATTGAGTTTTGAATGCATGAAAATTCAAATTACCAAGGAATCTATGATCAGGAACCAAGAATAATAGTTTTCTGCTGTACTCGTATGTGCCATTATAAATAGCATACTCCAAACGATAGGAAACCATTTCAAAAGAATAATTAGAAAATGGACATGATACATGAAAATCTGTCAGTGGAAATTGTGTGACATTGTGGTGAAACTCAGCATGACGACAAGCCGATGTCGCAGACTCATCACCAAGCCCTTGAAAACGTGTTGTCAGTCCTACAAAATACAAATTCAATCGTGTAAATATATATTCTATTCAAATTTTGTTCACTGTCTGACTTACCAGCAAAATCAACATTATCAATGGTTAAATTCAATGCGGTTGCCTTTGGATTGACTCCTCCAAAATCTTTAATATAGGCTGTGAGAAACACCTCGACGATCCTATCGGAATTAGGTGGTACATGGCTCATCAGATCAAATCTCTTCTCCAAGCAGTCTGAAACGAAGAAAAAATTTTAATTTACCATGAATAAAAATTCACCAGCTCCAAAATTTATCAAAACATCAGTATCTTAGAGAAATGTTACCTTGTCCTCTCTGAACCTTTTCTATGAGACACACATCTTGGGGCGTGAATTCAAAGTTTTTCTGCAAAAAAAAAAGCAAGAAAGAGAAAAGATGAAGAGCGTAAAAAGAGTTATATACTTTTTGAATTTACGGCTCTTGGTCATGATTCCGCGGCGGAGTCGAGAGATAGAAAGAGCACGCTACATGTATACCTATACGAGCATGCACGAGCCCTCTGAGTAAACACGAACTGTATACATGCATGCCATATATATGCATGTGTTTGTGTGTGTGTGTGTGTGCTTTCCGTGCAAAAGCGTCCTCTTTTAAAGAGTCGCTGACCCAAATGAAAACACGCCGAGAGCAGCAGCAGCTCCGTGTGCCGCTGCTCCGTGCAGTGCAATGCATCGCGGACTTGTGTACTATAGTGGTATATAGGCAGGTATATACTAACTTCGCGGAATAAAGGTACCTACAATAAGTGCAGAGAGAGCAGCAGCAGCTCAGCGAAGTAAAGAGAGAAAGAGACGGAGCTGCTGCTGCTGCGCTTACTTTGCAGGTAAACTCCCCATGCAGCACAACTGGACACCTTGTTTGTATGTGTGTGTGTGTATGTGTGTAGGTATTGTATACGATGCATATACTCACCACTGTGCGACAATAATCGGGGTAGCATTTCGAGGCGTCAGCTTGAAAAACGACGAACGAGATGAAAAGCAGCAGCGATATCGGCAGCATTTTATTTTCTACACTTGCAACTTGAGACAGAGACAGAGACAGAGAGAGAAAAAGAGACGCTCGACGCTATATTATTATGCTGCGTGCGTTTGTTGTGCTCGAGTATACAGGATCAAGCGGAGTTTATTATTGTTTCGTTCTCGCGATGACACTTCATCGTAGCATCAGCAGCTGCCTGAACCACAGCATCCAATGATGGGCCTCCTCGCACGTTTTCGTCAAAACACGGAAGGCCCGCGAGATTCTTCACATGTCGTACGTACGAGCACATTTGACACTGGCAGGCCGAGTAGCCTAGCAGCAGCAGCAGCAGCAGATAACGGGCTCACGCTCACTCACTCACGCACTCACGCTCTGCTCCGATAAAAAAGAAGCGTGTATATACCTATTTTATTTTTATTACTCAAAAATGCAAACGAGGAAAAAAAAAAGGAGGAATTCTCTCTCTCTGACTTTATTTATACGGTGCAGAGGCGCGTGATGCGTATAAATATCCACACTCGCGCGCACACACGGAAACACAAACGCGCAATAATATCGTTCGAGATTTCGTGGCGTGCGTGCGCTGTGCAGCACACGCGAATTATATATCGAGCTTTGTGTATGTGTGTGTATAGACAAAACAGCAGCAGACACGGAACTCCGCGAGAGCTGCGAGACAGCAGCGACGTTCACTTTTCCATGATGTAGGCGCTACTGACTGTGGCACAAGTCGGAGTCGCGGAGCAGCAGCAGCAGCTCGGCCTCGTCATACGGCGCTGCTGCTCATGCGTTGCTGCGCGCCTTGCCCTGCACCAGGGGCCGAGCTGCAATCGCATATATATCTAGATACCGTATACACGCTATATAGTATATAGCTTTACTTTGTTTGTCTTTTGAGCGGAGTAGACTGCAGCAAAGGCTATAGAAGCGAGGCTTCTCTTCCTACGTACAAGGCATGTCTCTCCGTCTCTCTCTTTCCTTTATCCTGCGACTTTGTTACCCATAGACGGACACAGGCCATCGGATATCGATGCTCCGAATAATATAACGTACGCGTCAGGTATTTCATTTCCACGAGCGAGGCGGCCCCGTGAGTTTCGCGCGCGTGCCCGCGAAATGTGCCTCTCGCAGCTCGTATCGCATATATATATAGCTATCATTGTTACCCGCGCTGCAACGTATTATGCGCGTATTACGTCGTGTGACATGGTATACGGAGTTTTAGGTAACGATATACGTTTGCATCTTTTTTTTTTTCGTGTCCGTGTAATCGAAGTATAGAACTATATAGTTGACCCAAGATTCGAGGTGTACGATTACGATTCGATTATTTGCCGCGTGCGTAAGACACGATAATTCGTTATTTATGTTGATGTTGTTAATGGAGCTAACGAATGCGTTCGCGGAAACGAAGCTGTGAAAAAAAACGATAATTCGTCCTTGTATGAAAATTTGATGGATGTTCTAAACAGTGTACATAGTTTAAAAGTTGGATCGCGTAGTAACACAGCTTGTGGAATTTAGCGCGAGCGCTAACGAGGGCTCGACATTTTATGAGCTTTAAAATTAATAAGGTGCTATATTTTGCTCCAAAAGTTTATTGATTTTTTTCAAAATTAAAACATTGATTCAACGTAATGAGATAAAGTTAGAGAAATTTATCTGCAATCGGAAGCATCTGACTCGACCGCTAGGTGGCGCAGCGCCAAGGAAAACCCGTACCCGCAAGAAGGAGGCTATTCTTCAGGGCATTAGTACATCGGTATGATGTCGGCACATTACACGGTGAATCGATCGACGTCAAAAATTTGTTCATATATTCTTGGTATTGGAGATGTGTGTACGATAGGGTACAGCATAGTTCCACTTTAAAAACCTGGATGCAAACACCAATTACACCCCAAGTATCCATTATTATACTGTAATAATTATTATTATTATTATCCATTATTGTACTGCGTGGCAGCATGATAAAATGTATGATTTTATAAAAAGGTTCTTGGACTTGATAATGCAAGAAATAGGATCAATAGAGTTAAACATATCTACAAAATTTTAAAGATAAATTGCCATGTCCAGTTTTTTTTGTTGAACCATAATCCACAGCAAATTAATATTGTTTAAGCAATCTTGCTTTGGGAGTTCATTTATCATTAAGTATAATGGCCAAATCGATTTTTTTGAAATTTCAAACTTGGAGGCTCCATCAGTATTGAGAACCGCAGAGACGTACTGATTTTAAAATTCTTCTTTTACATTTTCACGTAATTTTTTGTACATTATTCCGTCATATATATCTTCTATAAAATCATCATTGGGGTTTCGTTCATTCATCAAATAATAATAGTGGTCTTAATACTTTTCTAAAAGTTCTTTTAAATCCTTATCTGGTTTTACGATCCCTATATTTACGTAACCTAATGATCATCAGGACTGTAACCAGAAAATTTTTTCGAAGGGGGGAGGCGGTTACCTGGGTTACTTACGTAGCTTGGGTTACCACTCGAGAAGGTAAAATTAAAAATTTCTGACACACCCCCACTAGTTACGGCCCTAATGATCGTAATTCAATTGATCAATTGACGTATATTAATAAAATTTACTCGTTTTTTTCTCTCTAATTTTATTACAGCCATATGTCAAGATTTTTTGGATATTAGGAAAATTTAAAAAGATAGTCTGTATCCAGTGATAAGACTATGAAGCATAAGAAAAGAGAAAATAAATTAAATAGAAAGCAAACAAGAAAGTTGAATAGAAATTTTTCCAGTTGTTTATTAACGATGTTGTAGGCATGGGTAGTTAATAATTGACGATATAACCTTTGTTCACGGGACATCTCGTAAACTGGTTCAGTGTTGAACAATTCTATGGCTTATATAGATTACGCTCATTTTCATGAATTTCAATATAATCGAATATCAAATCAATGAACACCTTAAATGAAGTAACTTCAAAACAAAATGATATGACTTTGCAATTCAATGATTCTGTTCGATTATTGGTATGGTTTTCAAAATTTTCGAGCATTAAGCATCGAACTCAATCTTCCGTGATGGTAGACCAATTATCATCAAAGTATGATACTACAGATTGAGAAGTGTTTTGGGTGAAACGATTATTTTTTTTCTAATTTCAGTCAGATATTTTATTGCTCCTTATACTGTGCAGAATTACAAAAGGTCCAAGTTATCGCGCTTGACTAATTTTTTTTTTCTAATCTCAATCAGATATTTTAATCTGATCGAGCGCAAGTTTTCGAATACTCGAGTTTTTTTCGAGTACCCACGCTTTGTTTATGTCCACTGCAATTTGAGATTTTTCATATCACTTGCTCGTGTGCTTTTGAATAAAGAGATCGAACTTATTTTTCAAAATTTATTTATTTGAATTTAAATGGAATAGTTCATTGCGGTACAAAAGTTGAAGTTCCGCTACTGCGGGAATTTGAGGCCCGAGGCAATCGTATCTAAACAATCTTATATTATATACATTTTTGTTATATTTTATTATGTATTCTTTGCATATTACGGGTTTTCAAATATTTTTTTCATAACTTAGAAAGAATGTATCGAATTAAAAAAACTTAGCCGACTTCGCTACGTGTCATTTAGACACAACAATTATACACATTCACTTTTATGCATAAAGGATTATAAACATTTTTCACAAAATCAACAGTGTACTAAATATTGTTGTAACTCGAAGTGAAAATTTTACTTAATTTTAATTTCTTACACAACTGGCCGAATTACACTTTAATTATTACATCGATTGCACGATAATCGCATTGACGAATTCTACGTACCGTCCAAAAAATCATACGAATCTAGAAAGAATCGTATCTCGACCACGGAAAAGTCGAGTGCGTTCGTTTAAAAATTTAAAAACGAATCTTCACCCTGCGCAAACATGTTATCATTGTTCTCTCCATGCTATTTCGTGTTCGCTTTGAAGCTCGGAAATAAATTAAATGACGGTCGCTTGGCTACGAACCACCACTGAACGAAAAATTGTAGCAGTGGCATTTTTCATCGCAATGGCTTAAAGTACAAATTTCGCCGCGTACTTTGAACCAGGGGATCGAGAAAAAATTTTTTAAATTCAATATGTATTGCCACCAAGAGTCGCGATTTTCCACGCTGTCTTGGCCTTCGACAGCCAAGCAAATATACATTAAATCTTCGTTCGACAGATTCTCGATGATACTTTCGCAGCACAGAATCGGCAGCCGATAATGTATCAGCTCCCACAAAGGATCCAGTGCCCAGCGCCGGAAAAATCTCTTCGATAGTTTTTCGCACAGATGCAGAGCACAAGCATCTCGATGACTCTCGGGGAGCTTCGACAATTTTTCCGAGCGCGCGAAGTCGTAGTAATCCGTAAACGTGAGAAGTTTTGCTGCCTTCTCGGGTCGTAAACGGATCAAATCGTAGAGCGACAGATTCGGATGCTGCGATAACTCCACCTCTTCGTTATCGGTATCGTTATCATCGTCGTCGTGATTGTGGCGGGATTGATCCGGCCTCATCATAATTTTTTTCGCTTTTCTCGCCAACGCCTCGTCGTCGTTCAAAAATTTTTCAAGATCCGCCGACTCGTCGAACAATCCGCACTCGGCGAACGATTTCATGATCGTCGTCGCGTCGCCGCGGGTCAGTTGGTATCCTCTTCTCGCGAGACTGTCGACGATGGCCAGAGCACCGGACGCCAGTTTCAATTTGAAATTTTTGTCCAGTCGATTCTGCCTCTTCATTTCCTCGACGAAGACGAGCTCGGAGGGAAAAACGAAGCCGGCCAGATCGGCACCGCGAGCCAGCAGCATCTCGACCGCGCGCACCTGTAGACGCGTCACGGCGATGTCGAGAGGTGTCCTGCCGTCTTTGGTCGTCGCGTTGACCCGCACCGGCCGACCCACCTCGTCGCTGATCTCGAAGAGCGTCCTCAACGCCTCCTCGTTTTCCAGCGTCGAATCGAGCACGTAGTGCAGAGGTGTCTCCTGGTTAAAATTGGCCGAATTGGGATCTGCGCCTCTCCTCAGCAGCAATTCGACGAACGCCTCGTTGCGATTGAACAGAGCGTAGAACAGCGGCGTGTCGCCGATCCGATTCCGGCCGTTTATCATCTTGGCGATCTGCGCCTCTAGCGTCGTCTCGAACAACAGCTCCACCATCTCCTCGTCGTAGAACGTACTCTGGCTGATCAAGTGCAGCGGGGTGCACCACGACCAGTCGTCCGTCAGCGCCGCATCGACGCCGCGGCTCAGCAGCAATCTGTACACGTCCGCTTGACGATTGAGCAGCGCGCAATAATAGAGCGGCACGAAGGCGCGATTGCGGCGCGAAGTGTAGCAGTCCTGGCCAACATCGAGAAATTCCCTCACGGTATCGCGAATTCCCGACGCGCAGGCCAGCTTGAAGTGGCAGCGTCCCGTGCGCTTGTCCGTGTAATTCACGTCGCGCCTGTGGTATATCTTGAACAGCTCCTTGACCGCGTTCAGCCAACGCTTGGGATAATTCCTCTCGCTGGCCAGATGAAGCAGCGCCGTGGTGCGATGCAGCCGGGGCTCGCCGTGCTCGTCGAGCTCGGGCTCGTCCCTGTAGCCCGTGAGAGCCACGAACGTGATGATCAGCTCGCCCTCGTCCTCTCGACCCGCGCGCATGTAATCGATCGACTCGCAGAGAAGACGCTCG